GAATGAGTTTAGGAAAACTTCTCTAGATGATAACAAGAGAGAGGGAGAAGAGTGACTGCTCAAACACCAAATGATGATCTCCACTTGTTGTTGTGAAATTCTCTTCACAAATCGAAACTAGAAAAAATGCTTAAAAGCTTTTTAAACAAACTTAAACCAAACTTTAAACCCTTGTTAAACTTTCTTAAAACATTCTCTTGGATATTTTAAAGATGAGAACAAGGGGGTATTTATACCCACTCAAAACTTTAGCAAAAAAACCCTAAGAAAAAGACCAAAAACCCATAAACAAACAAAACAGAAAACTAGCCGTTACTGTGCAACGACTCTCTGATAAGTCGACTTATGAGTCGATTTATGAGTCGACTTATGAGTCGACTCAGCAGACAAAAAATCACAACTCCGCTGCACTTCGTGAGTCGACTTATGTGTCGACTAAACGTGCACAGATCTGAAATGCACAGAAAAACTTAACTTTAAACCATATTAAAAAATATCAAATAAATTCAAAAAAATTATGAAACTTTGGGAGATGATTGTAGATATGATAATAAACATGCTATAAAAACTGGTTTTCAAAAAGGACCTCCCAAATAAGAAATATCATTAGTTTGCAAAATATTCCAAAACATGAAAATGTGAACACATGAGTTTTGACATTTTAGCTTAACCATGTTTTGAAACATTACAAAATGATTTTTGTAGACTTACTAAAATATGTATATGATTATTGTTAAGTCCATAAACCAAGAAAACAATATTTTCTCAAAATTACATATTCTATGCAATAAATTCTTAAACAAAATAGAGTATGAAACATATGATTATATATATGAATGTAAATTTGTTTCATGTCTATATAGTTAAACCAAAACACAATAATAAATATGTAATCTTATATTTATAAGCATGAAAACTTAAAACTATGTATATATATATGAAAACCAAAACTTGTGTTGTATATATATATATAACTATATATATACAAGAAAACCAATATAATGTGTGTGTATATATGATTGAGCTTAAAGTACCAATACACATAATATAAACATAAACTAATGTTACCCAAGCTGGATCTTGATCTTCAATAAGTTTGACTTGGTATACAGTACGGATGAAGCTAGAACTTGGATCTTCAACTTGAATTGCATAGGCTTCACCCACTATTCCGCCAACCTCCATTTGATATGATCGTTATGGCACAATCCATCCATCCTCCAATATGTTGTTTGTCTATAATTGATACAAAAAACACAAACACTAGACAAACAACATTAGAGGTAAATTGTTTGTAAATCATCATCAAAACAAGAAGGCCAACAATGCACAGATAGACCAACTGGCCAATAAGATGTCGGTTCGGGTAGGATCAAATAGCGACTCACCACCAGTAGAGCGAAGTTTGACATTCTGTTGGAATGGAGTATCAACAATTGCATCGTCAGTTAGCTCGGCGTGATCTAGAATATCTGAGAGACACTTTTGTTGAGACAGTAGCACACCCCGCGGGCCCTAAGAAATTTCTAGACAAAAAATAGCGAAGAGATCCAAGATCTTTCATATGGAACTATTGTTGTAATTGAGATTTTACGAACTGTATACCAGCAATATCATTACCTGTAATAATCATATCATCTACATAAAGGAATAATAAAACTCTACCACACGATGTAGAGCGAACAAATAGAGAAGCATCTTGATGACTCTCCATAAAGCCCACCTTGAGCACGACATCGCGAAAACACTCAAACCAAGCGCGGGGTATCTACTTGAGATAATAAACAGCACGACGAAGGAGACATACGTGTCCTAGAGAAATATTGGACCATGGAGCTGTTTGCATATATATTGTCTCAGATAAAGAGCCATGGAGAAAAGCATTCTTGACATCCATCTAGTATAAGGGCCAACGATGAGCAACAACAACCGTAAGTAGAGTACGAATGGTGGGCATATGAGCAACAGGAGCAATGGTCTCCTCATAATCAATAACTTGTTGCTGAGTAAAACCCCGAGCCATTGAACAAGCTTTTCGATGTTCAATGGCACCATCAGGATAACACTTGACCTTATAAACCCATTTACTGCCAACAAGAGAGATCCTAGGGGGACAAGGAACATCACAGGTATGTATTTGCTTAAAGGTCTGAAATTCCTCAGACATAGCCTGTCGCCACTCTTGAAATTGAACTGCCTCTTGAAAGGACTTTGGCTCAATGATAGTATGAATGACAGTAAGAAAGTTATGAAAGATAGGTGATAGGAAGTAACTGAAGCATACCGGGCAGGCATGACATGTGGGTGTTTGCCTCGACAAAGAGCAAGAGGAACCTTAGGCGGGAGAGATGTTGGCGTAGGTGCTTGAAGATCAACAATATTTTTTGGAGTGAGTGTCGTGTCTACGGGATAGGGATCAGATGGTGTAAGAGCAGGCTCGGATGAGAAAGAGTCAATAGAAGGAGATGGAGAGATGTCAGGGAGATATCAAAAGGAAAACTGAGATGAAGAAGTGGGTGATGCAGCTGACGGGGAAGCATGATCAGTAGAGTGGAGGAAATTGAAGTCATCAGAAGCAGAATAATGTGGAGAATCCTCTTCGAACTGAACATGACGATATATATGAATTCGACGAGTTGCAGGATCATAACAACGATAACCTCGATGTTCCGAATTAATTCCTAAATAGACACAAGAAACAACTCTGAGAGATAATTTATCACGTTCATGAGATGACAGAAGAACGAAACAACGACAACCAAAAATACGGAACAGATCATAACGAGGAGGATGAGTACAAACATGACTATGATGAGTAACACTAAAAAGAGAGCTAGATGGAGTGATATTAATAGCATGAGTAGCAGTGAGAATGGCCATAGCCCAGAAACGATGAGGTACAGAGTAAGAAATGAGCATGGATCGAGTGGTATCGAGGATATAACGATGTTTGTGTTTAACAATACCATTTTGCTCATGAGTGTAGGGACATGACTGTTGAAAGATAGTCCCATGAGAGGACATGATAGAGCGCATGGTAGAGAATAGGTACTCTTTAGCACAATCAGAACGGAAAACTTTAATACGAGATTGTCATTGAGTGAAGATCATAGTAATAAAGGCTTGATAAGCAGCAAGTACGTCAGAGCGATTCTTAAGTAGGTAAACCCATGTAAAATGTGAGAAATCGTCGATAAAACTAACATAATATAAGTAGCTAGATGAAGAAGGCAGAGGAGCTGGCCCCTAAATATTAGAATGTACTAAATCAAATAAGGAAGTGAATACACATGTACTCATTTTAAAAGGTAAAGCAGCGAATTTAGTTAATTTACAACCAACACATGACTCAATACTAGAACTAGATGATATAGTACCAAGTACTCCAAAGTGAATAAGACTCTCCAGCCTTTTATTAGACACATGACCAAGTCGTCTATGCCACAAATTGGCAGGAAGCAAGGTAGAGGGTTTTGACGAACAAATAGAAGCAACAAGAAAACGTGAACGTATGGACTCTGGAAGGTGAAGATATTCTAGAAAATACAGATTGTATCTCCTACGACCCGCCCCAACCGTCTTGCTCGTCTGTGGATCCTGCACAAGACAAGTATCAGAAGAAAATAAGACAACCAGCTCAGCCATACATAAAGAGCTAATAGAAATTAAATTCAAGCACAACTGAGGAGCTACATAGACGGGACCAAGTGTTAGATGACCAGATGGATCATTTTGTGGGGGTAATAGAGCCATACTCAGTGATAAACAATGATTGTCCAAAAACTGTATAGATAGGGGGAAGAGAAGATGAAGTAAAGACAGAGAATAAAAGTGAGATATTATAAGTCATATGAAAGGAACAGTCAGAGTCAAAAATCCAGTGATTATTCATACCAGAGACCGAATGGTTAGCTGAAGAATAAGCAAAATGCATATCAGAGAGTTGTGCAGCGGATGTAGAGGTGATATGTGAAAAGCATCAAGTTGACGGCGAAGACCTTCAATAGCTTGAATAATAGAGTCTAAAGTGATAGAAGGTATAACATTCACCAGCAATTCTGGTGTACGAGAAAGTTGAGACCGAGGGGGTCATCGACCATGACCAGTACTTAAGGAACGTAACTCAGGATGAAGCTTGAAGCATGTCTCAATGCGACGTCCTTCCTTCTTACAATATTTGCAAGAGATCTTAGATCCAGCCTGTGGAGAGGGAGCCTGTTAAGAAGTATGATTCATAACAGAAACAGTGACAGGTACAAACAAAGCAGTCTCGAGTGAAGAGGTAGGAGTGTCTGTTGACAAATTGAGTCGTGTTATCTGCTGCCGGGTCTCATAAGCAGTGAGAGCTCCGATAGCTGAGGCTAAAGTCAGAAATTGAGGCTGATGAAGTACTTGATTAACCATAGTTAAATATTCAGGAAGGGACTGAAACAGTTGATGCACCTCATGACACTCATACCAGGCTAGCCAGTCTTCATATGTGGAATCACATCCAAGAAGCATGGAGCGTAATTCTGTCCAAAAAGCTTGCATTTGTCCATAATGAGACTGCAGAGAGGAACAACATTTGCTTTATAGAGCAACGCGTTACAGAAGATAATAATCTTTGAACGAAAAAAACCCAAGGTTAGAATGGAACCCGAAGATTTAAATTAGAAACCCAAGGTTAGATTGGAACCTGAAGGTTGTTTGATGCTTTCGGGGGATTTTTTTAAAGTTGTTTTAGTCGAGCATGTTTTGGATTAAAACGAGGGCCACCAGACGTATATCTAGCAAAAGCTATCCGGTGTACATGACAGCTGATCAAACACGCACTTTGCAACAAGCAGACGGGTCCGACAATATGCTGGCACATGAACTTTCATATTCAGGTCTCCAAATTGACTCTGAAAAACAATTACTCCACCATCACTCTATCAAGTAACTATGGATCACAGAGTTGAGACCATGCCTACTTGTATCAGCTTGAGGGCGTACTAGCTAAAACAACTCAGGCAGCATGCGAGCAAACAGTGTCTAATTTATTGATATACTATGCTGCAGTTGATTACCATGTGTTAAAGAGAATGAATGTTCTGAATCTATATCAGACGAGACAAGAGCATTGACGGGAAAGAATATACAATTATTCCTGGGACAACTTTGTCCAGACAAATTAAACATCATCAGTGTCACTTCCCCCAACATGAACTTCATGGCTTAGCAAGTAATTGCTTCCATCAGGACCTGTAACTTTGAACCTGTTCAAGGGTAAAGCTCGCCTGAGTAAAGCATCATGTTATATTCATACATAATTTTGATGCTTGTTTTATTCAAATAACAACAGAATAACAAGTAAAGGTTGAAGAGAACTAGTAGAAATATATTAGAAAGAACCTTTCAAGAATAAATTTTCCTTCTTTATATTTCTGGCTCTTTTCATGTGCAGCCTCCTGTGTAATAAAAAGATTACGCCAATAACATTAGTTGGAAGTAACAATGTTGATCACATACTTAATCAACTCACATATTTCCATCCCACAATTGACCCACAACCAACACAGAATATGTCAGCAACTGTGTGCATCCCAGTCATCATCATCCTCTCCTCATTCAACCCAACAGTAACATTCACTCTGTGAAGCATTGGCCGATATTACATCAAAAATATTAACAGGCACAAATCTGTTAATAAAATAGAATAAAATATGGTGTAAAAGGATATCAACATTCTCATAGAGCATAGGTCAGTTAATAACTTTTGGTTCATAGGATCCATGTGCAATCTTAGAAATACATAAACTGCCTCTAAACATTCTTTTGCGGTGTCTAATCAACAAGTGGAAGCCAGATCTAAGACAAACCGGCACATTAAATGCCCATGATTTATGTTCTCTTTGGAAATGTGTGCCGAAGGCATCATTTTCTGAAAATATATCTGCCTTCCTAATTTAATAAGTTCACTAAAAAACTTCAATAGATGCTAGCATCAGATGGATGGATTAATGGGTATGCACATGCACTCTTCTCCTGTTTCCAGCCGGAAAAAAACCCACTCGTCCATACACCCAACAAACACTAATAGCAACACAAACAAATCACCACCAAACCACCACGAAGAGGAGAGGAAGATAACCTTCAGTTAGGAACAAAATTTCAGTAGATACCAAGGACTAATAACAAGGAACTTCTTCTCCTCTTCGCCCCACCCCAGTCCCAGAAACAGGCAGGTAAAAGAAAAACCCACCCAAAAGAACACCTAGTCTGTACTATACTAATGCCGGAGCTAGAGATTTGTCTAAATGAGTATGCCATGCTCTCTGTTGCAGAGGTATTACATATTTCCCATTCATTCTATATGCTGGATGAGCAACTGTTTATGACTAGGTAAAGAAGTTTTTTTGCTTCTATACCTAGCACAAGTTTTTGTGCTTGGTAATGAGGTGCATCATTCTCATCCACTCTCCAACTCATGTGAATATGGTCCCCCCATTTGAAGTGGATGGGAATGAATCATCTCACTACCAAGCACTGTTTTAAAAAACCTCCGCCTAGTCCGCTTAGGCGTTCGCCTAGGCCTAGGCGGTACCTAGGCCGCCTAACTAGCGCCTAGCGCCTAGGCGGTATTTAGGCTGTCCGCCTAGATTTTACGAGCATTTAGAGGAGCATTGTCCGCTTACGTGGATTGCACCCTGTAGGTCTTGGTTATGATTTTATGTGTTGTAGCCTACACGTCCTCTAAACTCCATTAACCTCCAAATATGAACACCTCCACTACCTCCTCCGACCTTCAACAAAACCTCATCGACCACCACTTAAATGAAAAAAGAAATTCGCCTAGACACCAGTCCGGCATCTAAGTTTTCTGTAACATTGACATTCACTATCAATTATTGTAATTAAAAAAAAAATCTTAGGCTCTAGCCTTGTTAATTATTATTTTGGCTATTTAGTATCTAAGTATGCATGATTTATTGTGGAACTAAAATTGCTATCTTTTTTTAAAAATTTATATAAATTTAATACATATTGTAATTTGAGTTAAGATGAACTTATAATTTGAGTTGAGAAGTATAAACATACAAAGAGTTATTGTAAATGGTAAACCAAGCAATTAAGTTAATAGTGTTGGTATTTTAGTATTTATGCATCTTTAATTGAGTATATATATATATTTATCTTCAAGTATCATAATTAAAAAAATAAAAAATAAAAAAGCCCAGAAACCGCTTAGGCGCCCGCCTAGGCGACTAAGCGCTGGGCGCCAAGTTCGACGCCTAGAAGCGTCCAACGTTCCAAATTTCTCATATATATATATATAAGAAAAATAGATAACCTTGGTCCCAAGAATCAAACTTGGTCCTTAGAGGTGAGGTGGGTCCTTGGTAGTGAGATGATTCATTCTCATCCACTCACATATAGGGAAACCACATTCATATGGATTGAATAATTAGGAGGAATGGATGAGAATGTGCCGCTTTACTACCAAACACCAAGCTTGTGCTTGATACCAAACATATTCATTTTTCTCATGTATAATATATATATATATATATATATGATATATATATAGAAGAGAGAGAGGAGAGAGAGAGAGAGATTATGGGTGTCCTTGTCAGTAGGAGAGGGATTTCCTCCTATGACGCCTGCTAAATCACATGATTGAGCGATATTGTGGATAAGTCAGCTCCGTTGAACTTTGAATCTAGCATATTCTAAACCGCACAACACAGCCAAGTTTGGGGTGAAACGCCTCGTCGTTTGACCTTCCATCCACTCGTATCAATTTTAACGGTTTTGAATGAATAGAACTTTTAACATGGCTCGATGGAGGTAAACGACGACGATTCACCCACACTTGATGGTGTTGGGTTTTAGAATATGTAGATCAAAAGTTCAACGGAACGGATCATCGCACAATGTCGGCTCAATAATGATTTTAGAGCGTCAATGAGGAAATCTCCTGCCTAATGACAAGGACCGCATTTAATTCGATATATATATATATATATATAATATATATATATATATATAATATATATATATATATATATAATATATATAATATATATATATATATGATAAAATGACATTGTGGATGAAAGATCCATATCATGAGATTGGCGCCAATAGGTTATCCAGAATCGATACTACACCCATCGTGGTAATACACTCATCAGCACAATGCTTTAATAAGAAAAAAATTATATCATGTTGAAATCTCCAATTATTATTTTAGCTATGTGCAAAATGGACGACCATTAAGCTGTGTGAAAACTGAACATATTAAACTGGTTTGATTCATACTCTAGAAGAGCTCAAACTATGTGAAAATTTGACCATGTACATTTGATGATATTTTGAACAAGATGTATGGTACAAATCATGAATTTGACGACCCGATTAGTCCGTCTCACGATAAGGTTTCATCTCACCATATCGTTACTATATATATAATGGGTATGAGGTGGTGACTCATTTTACAAAACAAGTGTGGTGAGGCCTACCCTAGTTGTCACATCTTTTGAATGTGGTAACCTCTCACTATTTATCTCTTAGGAGCTTATTTTGCTAATGAGCTGACAAACCTATTAACCAACAAATCAATATATATATAGTATATAATATATATCTATATATTATATATATATCTATATATATTATATATAGTATATATATATAAAAAAAATGTGTGTGAGAAAAATTGACCAGTACACTTTGAATGATATCTAATTGAACCAAAAGAAGCAAACAAAGAACAAAAAAAAATAAAAAAACAAAAGAAAAAAAAGAGAGAAAAAAGATGGTAAGTACAGATCATAGAAGAACGAAACCCGAAAAGTCAACATACCTCATCACTCAGTCATCTCAACAAATAAAAATCGATAAAATAAAAATAATATTAAATAATGGGTAAAGGTGGTGAACTCAATTTTAAACAAACAAGTGTGGTGAGGCCTACCCTGAGTTTGTCAAAAAAATCTTTTGATGTGTACTCACTAAAAAATTTAATACTTCTTAAAAGGCGTTTAACTTTTGCTAAAATGAGACTGAACTACCTTAACAAAAACACAATTCAATAATAATATATATATATATATATAATATAATATAAATTATATAATATCAATATATATATATATATATATATATATAATAGTATATAGTAAACCACAGTGTGTGATTAGTCAACATTACGACTCTCGCTAACCGCATACAGCATTTTACTTTGCATGATCGTGCATGATATGGATGGTTTTGATTGAGTATGCTTGAGAGAGAGAATGAGATGAGGTTTTTTTTACAAAATCTTCCTACCCACTCATCACCTCACGCTCTGCCATTCCAAAGGGCTCATAATCAGCAACATTCACATCAAGTAAAATAAGTATGCTTGGTACCAAGCATAACACAAAATAAATTCTCTCTCATCTCTCTCTCTATATATATATATTATATCATATAAGAATATAATGAAAATGGATAACCTTAGAGACAATGATCATTTTTGGTCCTCGCTGAGGTGGCTTATTCTCATCTATACATTCTGTTGATGATGGGTAACCAAACAGTCAATATATCGGGGTGAGATTGATTAGGGACCGTTCACTTCTCCAAATATCTGATCTTGAGTTTAGTAGCTTTCAGCCTGCACAAATAACAACTTGTGAGAGGACGGGGCTTGATTCCTCTGTTGTACATCCGACGATTAAGTCAGCTGGTAAACTTGAGTGGAGAAAATAAAGAACTATGTTATTATGTGTAATACAGTGTAATATGCATATATTGCTTATTAGCAAAAGATCAAAGATTAGATGTCCTAAAGTCTAGATTCTAGGAAAAAGAATCCCCTCCCATGTTGAGAATAGTAACTCTATTTGTAGTGGTGATGAAAGGGTAGAATTATCACTTCGGCTGAGCACAGGAAGGTGGTAAATACGTATGGGCTGACGGCTGCGTCAGTACCTACTTTACACGTGCCAGTCGGCGAGTGGAGGAGAGATCACTTCAGCATTAAATGAGAAGTGATTAGAGGCATGACAGTATTGACGTGGCCTGATGAGTCATGAAGACTATCGGGACTAGAAGTATGATAAGCCTGCCAAGCATTAAATATGTTGCCGACGTGCTGTCACCGGAAAAGACTCGAGGCTGAAATCGTCCTTTAGCTTAGCCGAGAAGTAACACCTTTCGAGTTGACCTCACGATCGTCGAGTAGCTGGTCGAGTGGGCTCGTTGCGAGTCATCTTCGACAAAAGGACTGACAAGTACTGCCATTTGAGTCGATCTAAGGAGATGTCGACTCGACGGGTCAGCTACGTCGGGATCCTTGGATGCTTTGATCAATCTGATTTGAGCAGTGCATGTAGAGGAGACATATGTCCGTTAGCAAAGAGTCGTACTTTGACGACTGAAAACACCATAACAGTTGGCCCCTTTCGCTTGGAGTCGGCTTGGGCTGAGTCCGAGTGAAATGAGAGAAGATTTGAATGGACATGAGTGTCCATTAAATGAAAAAACTAAAAAGTCATGTCAGTTTTTCGTGGCTGACGTCACTACACATTCTTTTTATTGTCACAGCTCCGCTTTTCGTGACTAATTGCGGGCTATTCGAGGTCAATGGGTTACGCCTCGATCCTCGAAATGTCGCTTCGGATTCTGAGAATTAATCTTGGTCGTTGGCCGAAACTTGATCCGGCGGTTCAGATTCCGGTAGTTGTGGATTCATCTGCCTATATATAGAACTAGAGCCAGAGAGATGACGATTAGTCTTTTGAAATTTCCTTCTGAGAACTCGAAACTTTTCCTGCTCATCTCTTTTCGACGATCATTTTCCATTCTTCGATGGCATCAGATCTTGTAGACCGACGTGCTCTTCTGGCGGAGTTCCATTCAAAGGTGACCCAAGCACAAAAGAGGACGCTCCACGGGAGATTTGATATCCCTCATGAGTACAAGCTGATGGCCCCGATGAGGTCAGAGGTCGTTTATGATCATCGTTTATGATCATGGGCCAGATTAGACTCCGCTCTACTTGAAGTATTTGGAGTTTGATCTGAGACTGCCCCTGCACCCCTTCCTCCAGCAAGTTTTTACGATGCTATGGGTATCTCTGGCTCAGATGAAGTCGAATGACATCACCACCTTGGTGGGGTTCATCGTAATCTGCCATTGGCTGGCGATAAAGCTATCATTGAGAGTCTTGGGCCGTTTGGTGACTGTGAAGGTGAACCAGACTGAACCCCATTTCCACTTTCAAATAGTGGGAAAGTATAAACTCATCATCGGCCTTCCTGACTCCAACAAGGATTAAAAGGAAAAGTTTGTCTAGGTCGTAGGGGACGACTTAGAGTTGGGCTGCTCGAACTGGCTCGAGATAAAGAGGGAGACGCTCATGAAGGGTGACTTGCTTGACGCCGAGAGAGATGCGCTTGATCAGATCAAGGCGTATGCTGGCTCTCGTCGAATAGAGCATCTGCTTGACAACTTGGTCTTACGAGTTGCCAATGTGTTTGTCGTGCCTCATTCTGCCAAGGACCAGGAGAGGGCTTCAGTCCTTATCTTAGGGACAATGGTAGCGGCGATTATGCTAACTGCTCCTTTGGCTGACCTATAGAAAGGGTCATCTGATAGGCCCGAGAAGCGTCTCCACCGTGATTTTCGCCCAATGGAGCCCGAGACAGCCAATGAACCTTCTATCACCCTCGTCCATAGAAGACGGAGGAGGCCCCGGAGGGATGAGGAACAAGAACCTCGGGCGGCGGCCGAGATGGTCGAGACCGACATCATCCATCTGGACAAGTTAGCTCCGGAAAAGCCAGTCGAGGCTCCTTAGGAAGAGAGCCGAAGCTAGAGCTCCTACTGAAGAGGGCGGGCCATCCATCCGCCGTAGTGAGTCGACCCGCCGGGGCAAAGAGCCGGTTGAGGAGGAAGCGGCGCCTCCCACGAGAGTGGAGTACCCCTTTCCTCACCGTGTTGCTTAAATTGGGGAGGAAGAGTGGGAGAGGATGAAGCAGTACCTCATCAGGACTTCGGGGGTCGGCCCTTGATATGGACAAGAGCCTGATCCAGAGCACTGCTATCAGCCTGCTCACTATCTCGATGTCAGGGGGACAGTCCTTGGTTCTCGTCTGACTCAGTCGAGGGCAGTCGAATAGTTTTGGCTTCCTCGGGATGAGGAGTTTTTGTAAGGGGTTCCCAATGTCGGTCTCCAACTAAGCAAGGTTTTAAATGTCGGTCGACATGTCGGTTTGAGAGTTTGAATGACACGACATTGGCATTTTTACCTCGTATGTCGGTTTTCAGGGCCAAATCGAAAATATCGAGATCATATCGGCCGATTTTTCAGCCTTGAAAAATCAGCTGATATGAGCCTTTTTTTAGATCTGTTTTTTATTATCGGGTTTGGGTTTAGTGATAAAAACCCAAATCCGTTTGACCCGTTCTCATGTTTAAGGATTTTTTATGAACCCGATAGAAAGAAAAAAGAAAAATTAAAGCTACAACGGACTTAAAAACTGATCACTTCTTTCGTGAACGACGATGCCCTTCCCCCACCTCCATCTCGGACCCCCGTCGTCCATCTCTTATTGTGGCCCGAAATCCGAATCCCAACCGAATCCGAAAGCGGCTGGGTATCCCGTCATCGGGATAAAGGGAAGAGGGTGATCGGTGACTCATCTAAAGGACCCCAAGCAGACGAAGAAGAAGAGCCCCGACACTGCGTCCCTGTGACGTCCTGTCGCCGGCACTGCCTTCTTCCACCCATCGCCGGCGCCGCCTCTAAAATATATAAAGTATGTTGATATTGAATTTAGGAATGCTTAGATTACATTTAGGATATGATATTATACATATGCGCACCAACCGATATAACAATTCGATATTTAGTCCGTGTCTCCCGATATATCCCTGATTTTCGCTATCCAATATGGATTTTAGTCGTCCGACATGAACCTGATATCCGACATTTAAAACCTTGCACCTAAGCCTTCACAGTTACTTGGTTCGAGGCGTTTTGGTCGGGCAGGAGATATATGGCCGGATGAAGCAGGTCCGAACTTCATATCTCAAGCTTTTAGGGGAGGTTGCTTCCCTGAGGGCCGGCAGAGGGGTTGATTCGGAATAGGAGTGCGGAGGCGCCAACCCCAACTTCCGAGGTCGACAGGCTTAGGCGGGAGCTGGACAAGAGCAACAGGAGGGTCAGGAGACTGGATGAGGCTCTCAAGGAGAGGGACACCGCTATGGTGCAGGTCGAGGCCGAGAATCAGGCGGCGATGCATGCGAAGCGTCAAATGGACGAAGAGCATGCAGAGCTTGTTAAGCTTCAAGGGGAGGTCCCTTTCTTACATGAGTAGATGGCAGTGGCCCAAAGCCACAATGCCACCTCGAGTCCGAGCCTTACCGCTGGCAGATTATAGAGGGATATCGCCAGGGCCTAACTAGAAAAACTAAAGTGGCGATAACCTGCAAGGCCGAGTATGACTACCTATCGGCGCAGCTTTCAGTCGAGATGAGGAACCCGCCCGGTTGCTTCCACTATACTACCATTGTAGCCAAATGTCTGGATGAGTTGGTGGAAATGAAAGCACTTGTAAGGGGATTCGATCTTGGTGAGGAAGAGGGGGAGTTGGACGAATGAGGAAACTGCTCGACTCCTTCGTCGGCTACTCTTAACGGTTCCTTGCCTGTGACTCCAGGAGCGGGAATGGACCTCTCTTAGTCTCCTAGAACTTTCCTGTTTCTCGCTTTTGTGTTGTATATTCGTATACATGTACCTTGTAAATATTCCTTATAAATAAATAAAGAGATTTTTTTAGCCTGAATTGCTTTTCTTATGCTGTGCAATCTCAATTTATATCTTCTGGATGAATTATCTCTAACATAAACTTGAACTTAACTGCTGACTTGAGAAGACTCATCCTTCGTTGAAAAGATACGTCTCGAAGTTGTGCAGTTGTTTCTGTTGTTTTTGTTTTTTGTCTTGATTTGGAGCCAATTGAGTTGATGACCTTTGCTAATTAGTGTTTGAACTCCTTGGGGAGAGTGCCTGAGAGTTCTCTCTTAAGTCCATTGTCAGCTATTGAGAGTTGACTAAGTCTTGTTGATTGCTCATCAATTAGACGTCATTTGGTGAGTTTCCAAAAACCTTTATTGGGCAGGTGAAACGTCACTGTTTGAAACGACATGATGACGTTGTCTGAAGCCAGAGTTATAGCATCGCTTCAATTTTCGAGCGAAGAGACGTGAAATAAAGAGGGCGGCGCTTCGAGTTTCCTTTGAACCGTTTGGGATATTGAGGTGCATCTCGTCCGTTCATTTTGAAACAAACTAGCCGTCCAGATTATTCCAAATGTCCCTCTTGGGTAGTATAAATATCCCACTGCAAGCAAAGAGGGGTTTTCTTCACAAACTCTCGCTCTAAATTTTTAGTGCTTCTCTCATAACTTTCCCAAATTTCCTTGCAACAAATATTCTCCAATGGCTGCTCAGACCTCCACAGCTGACCGCAATAAGAAGAAGATCGCTCTTTCCGGCCAATCTGATCGAAGGTCTGGATACTGGAGCTCGAGAGATACTACGAACTCTATGATATCCCTAAGACCTTTAGGCTTGCTGAGCCTAGCGAGGATAAGCCAGTGTACTGTCACGGCCAGAATAGGTCACCGTTGTA